AAAATGTAAAACAAAGATTTTGTGTTATGCATCTTCTAAGGGAGACTACAGCTATTTCTATTTTTGTTTGTAGGTTCTTTCCTTCCTTCCCCCCCCCCCCCCTGAGAGTCTTTTCTTTTAACCTCCACCTTTTCTCTGTGCCATAGATTCTCCCTTCTTTCCTTCCTCCCTCCCTCCCTTCCTTCCTCCCTCCCTCCCTCCCTTCCTTCCTCCCTTCCTTCCTCTCTTCTTTCCTTCTTTCCTCTCTACTTTCCTTCCTCCCTTCTTCCCTTCCTTCCTTCTTTCCTCCCTTCTTTTCTTCCTCCTTCCCTCCCTTCCTTCCTCCCTTCTTTCCTCCCTTCTTCCCTTCCTTCCTTCTTTCCTTCCTCCCTTCTTCCCTCCCTTCCTTCTTTCCTTCCTCCCTTCTTCCCTTCCTTCCTTCTTTCCTCCCTCCCTTCTTCCCTTCCTCCCTTCTTTCCTCCCTTCTTTCCTTCCTCCTTCCCTCCCTTCCTTCCTCCCTTCTTTCCTTCCTTCCTCCCTTCCCTCCCTTCTTCCCTTCTTCCCTTCTTTCCTTCTTTCCTCCCTTCTTCCCTTCCTCCCTTCTTTCCTTCTTTCCTCCCTTCTTCCCTTCCTCCCTTCTTTCCTTCTTTCTTCCCTTCTTTCCTTCCTTCCTCCCTTCTTTCCTTCCTCCTTCCCTCCCTTCCTTCCTCCCTTCTTTCCTCCCTTCCTTCTTTCCTCCCTTCCTTCCTTCCTCCTTTCTTTCCCTCTTTCCTCCCTTCTTCCCTTCCTCCCTTCTTTCCTCCCTTCTTTCCTTCCTCCCTTCTTTCCTTCTTTCCTCCCTTCTTCCCTTCCTCCCTTCTTTCCTTCTTTCCCTCCTCCCTTCTTTCCTTCTTTCCTCCCTTCTTTCCTTCCTCCCTTCTTCCCTTCCTCCCTTCTTTCCTCCCTTCTTCCCTTCCTCCCTTCTTTCCTCCCTTCTTTCCTTCCTTCCTCCCTCCCTTTTGCCACACTATCTCCCCGCTTTATTCTGCCTGCTTTCTTTCTCTCTTTCCCTTGTCCCCCACCCCTCTCTCCTTTGAAAATGTAAAATAAATATATTTTTTTATATCCCAAAAAAAGAAGATTCATTATTGTTAAGATGTCTAACTTTCCCCAGATTGACATATAGATTTATGGCAGTTCCATTCATAATCTCAGCAGGCTTCTCTGTAAAAATTGACAAGCTGATTCTAAATTTTTATGGAAATGCAAAAAACATAAAATAGTCACACAATTTCTTGAAAAACAATTGGACTTGCACTATATCATATCAATATTATAGTTATAGAATTCAAGATAGCATAATGACAGAAAAATGTTACAGATCTACACAGTTAATTTTTGACAAAGATGTCAAAAGAACACAATAGGATAGAATTTTTTACTAAATACAATAGAAAATTTTAGTATTCTTATTCAAGAAAGAGGGGAGGCAAAGAGGGAAGAAGAGAGGAGGCTCAGTTTTTACCCATCACCATATACAAGAATTACCTCAAAATGAATTCTGTATCTAAACATAAGAACTAAAACTATAAAGCTCCTAAAAGAAAACATCAGAGAAAATCTTAGTGACCTTGGTTTTGGCAAAAGCATAGACTACAGAAGAAAAAAAAGAAAAAAAATTTTGACTTCATCAAAATAAAAAAAAAATCATGTGCTTCAAGGGAAATTTATGAAAATGAAAAGGAAAGCTACTGAGAGAAAATATTTGCAAAAGGGGCTCCTCCGTTTTCTTATGGTTTTTCAGCCCCTTTCATCCTTTTTTAACCTCCTTTTGTCTCTCTTTTGGTAGAGATTTTTCTACTTTTCTCATGTTTCCCACATAAATTTCTCATCCAACAACTTTTAGATACCCCTTTTTTTCTTTATCTTATACAATTGTATTTTTAACTTTCTTTATCTAATTTTATTTTTTACTATTTTTTCTTCTTTTCTCTGAGTGCTTCGAGGAGGTCATGGCATTGGTCTGGCTCAAGGAGTCTAGGGTGCCCTTTTAGCCTTGGCCTTGGGGAAGATGGTATTGGTAGGTCCTCACTGCTGATTTCATTTCCTTTATTTCTTTCGTCTATATTTGGCAGAGGTGGGGTCTTGCTTTTGCCCAGGCTGGGGAAGCACTCCTGACTTTGAAGAATTCACCCAGCTCAGCCTCTCAGGACTTAGATTTGTGGGTGTGGCCATAGCACCCTGCTGACCACCATTTCTCTCTTTTTGTCCTTCTTTCCTTCTCTTCAATTCTCCCCTTTCACCCCCCCTTTTTATTTCCTTTTTTTCTCTTTATCTTTTGCTTTTCTTTCTCCCTTCTTGCTCTTTACCCTTCTCTTCCTTTTGGCCTTATGCCAAAAGACCACTTCAACACCTAAGCTCTAAGACTAGATAATGTAAAGCAAAGGAGTCAGTGAGAAGGAAAAAGGAGGAGAAGGAAGTGAACAAGAAGAAAACACACATGAGGAGGAACCAATAGAAAAATCTGGCAACATGAAAAACAAAAACAGAGCCACCACTCCAAGGGGCCATAAGGCAGCTACTGCAAAGGATTCTATCTATAAAGAATTAATAAAAATTACAGAAAGGAAATTTAAATACAGACAGCAACAGTAATAAAGGGAATTGATGAGAAAGTGGAAAAACAGAACTAAAAAGTGGATAAAAGATATGAAGTATATGGAAAGGATATGGTAGAGCTTAAGGAATTGAAGGAGTCAATCAGGGAACTTAAAGATGCAGTAGAAAGTATGAATAACAGATTAGACCATGGAGAAGAAAGAATCTCAAGATAGAGGATAAAGCTCTTGAGCTAATCCAGGTAGTTAAAGAGGCAGAAAAGAAGAGAGCGAAAGCAGAACATTTGTTCAGGGAATTATGGGATTTCATGAAGTGTTCAAACATATGCATTGTAAGTATCCCTGAAGGGGAAAAAAACATCCCAAGGGAATGAAAGCTCTACTGGAGGATATCAGAAATGAATATTTCCCTAAAGATTCCAAAAGACTACTTTTAGGGGATGTCAAACCCCAGGTTGTCCCAACATAAATAAAGCATCTCCAAGACACACTGTAAGCAACTGATATACAAACATTGAGGACACTGGCCGAAACAAGACCAGCTCTATGGACAACACTTAGAGCTATTCTCCACACTGACTATCACAATGGACCACCAGCAAAGTTAACACTCAGAAACTAATGGACAAAACCCAGCTTCCACAACGGTGCAAAGGATAAAACTAAGCAAGAGACTTTCACAAAAATACTTGCAAAAAAACTTCTATCCAACAAACAACTTTTATCTAGAATATACTTTTTTTAAAAGTCTTACAACTTTATAATAAGATAATAAAACAATTTTTTAACAGAGCAAAATATCCGAACAGACATGACACTAAAGAAGACAGTCACACACCACATAATGACATTATGGTCAATGACAGACCACCTAGGACAATGACTGTCCCTTAAGATTATAATGGAGGTGAAAAATTCCTAATCGCCCAGTGATGTTGTGGTTGTCATAATATCACAACGTAATTACTTTACTTTGTATAAATTTAGTGTAACTTAAATGCACAATGCTTTCAAAATGTACAGAAATGTACAGTATGTCCTAGACCTTCACATCCACTCACCACTCACTGTTCCACCCACAGTAACTTCCAGTTCTGCACGCTCCATTCATAGTATACAGGTGTACCATTTCTTATCTTTTATACAGTCCTTTTGCCATATCTTTTCTATGTTTATATACACAAATACTTACCATTGTGTTACATATGCCTACAGTATTCAATACTGTAGCATACTATACAGGTGTATAGCTTAGGAGCAATAGGCTATACTGTACAGCCTAGGTGTGCAGTAGGCTATGCCACCTAGGTCTCTGTAAGTATACTCTTCTTATATACTTATATCACCCAATAACAAAAAAGAATTTCTCCGAAAGTATCCCCATCATTCAGTGATGCATAACTGTACAGATGGCAAATAAACAGATGAAGAGATGCCCAGTAGCATTAGTCACTACAGAAATGCAAATGAAACCACCATGAGATACCACTACACACCCACTAATAAACTAAAATTAAAAACACTGAGCATACTGGATTGGTGAGTGCTATGGTTTGAATGTTCATCCTCTCCAAAACTCCTGCTGAAACTTAAACTCTAACATAACAGTATTAAAACGTGAGCATTTAAGAGGTAATTAGGTCATGAAGGGCTCTGCCTCATGAATGGATTAATTCATTCACGGATTAATGGACTAGTAGGTTACTGGAGGAGTGGGTTAGTTATCATGAGAAGGGTCTATTATAAGCTAGTTTGGCTGTCTTTCATGAGTTCACCTTGTCAGGTGACACCCTGTACCACCTCAGGACCATGCCGAGAGTCTCCACCAACAAGAAAACTCTTGCCAGATATAGCCCCTCTACCTTAGACTTCCCAGCTTCCAGAACTGTAAGAATCTCTTTTCTTTATTAAATATCCAGGCTCAGGTATTCTGTGATAGCAACAAAAATAGGCTAAGAAATGGAGAATGTGGAACAGCTGAACTGCTCATAAACTACCAGTGGGCATGTAAAATGTTACAATCACTTTGGAAGCAGTTTGGAAGTTTCTTCAAAAATTAGAAAACCACTAACCATACAAAAACCTATACACCAATGTTCATGACAGCTTTTTTTTTTTGAATATGTAAAAACTGAAAATAATCCAAATGTCCTTCAACATGTGAGCAGATCAATACAGTGTAGTATGGCCACACTAATGACTCAAATTTATTCTTCACGTCTTCCTTTCTGTAGAATGCTGTTTTGTGCAGGTGGCACTTTAGAATAAAGAGAAACAAAGCTAAGAGAGGCGCCTGGCTTTTATAACAGATCTGGTCTCATAACTAACGCAATCCCTCCAGGACCCATCAATCCATTACTTGACCCAAAACCTAAAAGACAGGATAGAGTACACTCACTGGCACCCGGAGTTTTTTATTATTCTTCTTTTTCTTTGAGAATCTCTTGTCTTTGGCCAGCAACATTGCTTTGATCCCTGAAGACGGCTCTATTTCTGAGGATCTTGAAAGCTCTGTAAGGGAAACGTTCTGTATAAGAAAGGATATGATAATGTAGGAGGCCCATTTTGTTTTACAAAAAAAAAGCTGAGAGAATGGGAAGCAGGAGAACACAGTTAAGAGTCACAGATTTTTAAAACATGGAAGCAGTGCAAAGGACTTAGTACTGTTTCGGTTTTGTTTTTTAAAGTTTACTCCTTACTTTTCATCTTCCAGCTCTTCATCAATTTCTCCTCCTTGTGGAATCTAAAACTATGACTTCTAATGGAAGGTCTGTCTCTGTGAAATGAACTGATCCAAAAGGGAGTGTTTAGCTGGAGCCATGGTCCCCCCTTTGAGAAATCACTACTCCGGGCCAATCTTGTGGAATTATCAGAGACGGAGTTACCCTGGCTCTGTGACTGGCTTCGTTCAGTCTGAGTGAAGTCTCTGTTACAAGGGGAAGGCAAGCAGGTTTGCCATTTTTCCTTGATGCTCGACAAATCAGTTTCACCGTCTTCTGAAAATGACCAGTTCAGATATCCACCTCCAGTTTGCATGCTCTTCATTTGGGAAGGAAGGGAAGTCGCAGCCAGGGATGCAGGTGTGCTGTGCACAGTGGGTAGAACTTGGTCCCCCTGGCCGCGCTTGTCTGGCACCTGAGCGATTGACAGGTACTGCTCCTTGGGTTCAGCCACTGATGCCTGGTCTGAGACGACTGGGGTCTGCCAAGTCAGATGAGCAGCAACCTCTCTCCGCACGGCCTGTTCAGTTGCTAGCCCATCTGTACCTCCTTCCACAGATGAGCTGGACAGAGGCAAAATAGTTTCTGCAGAAAAAGGAGCTTGCTTTAAACTAGAAGGGACGAGGAGAAATTGGCCGTACTTTGAGTGTGCGTGCCTGTTAGGAAATACTCCAGAAGCAACTCTCCTACTTTCTGTGTCTTGCTCTTCCTGGTCATCTCGTACATCTGACGCCCCTCTCTGACTGTCTGTACTCTCAGGAAGGGCTCCCCTCTGCACCCTTGGGGGCTGCTGCCCTCTGGCCAGGTCCCTCAGCAAGGAAGGAGGCATGCTATAATACTGGTATTTCTTCGTCTCAGAGAGCTCCACGCTGCCTGGCACCTCTGCACACTTGATATTGCTCCAGCTGTGGGGCCGTTTTCTGCAAGTAGAATACTTCCTGTAGGCCAGGAGTGCCTCTTCTTCTTGCAAAGTGTCAACAGCAGAAAGGACTTTCAGGGTATCCACTGTCAGGGCAGAGAGGTCCTGCAGGTGTCCCACCTGGCTGTCCAAAGACAGCAAGGAGTCCTTTATAAAAGACACTTTTTCATTCAGTTCTTTCAGCTGGAAATGTGTCTCTGTAACCCTAAAGGGGAAGAGAGGGAGAAAATCAATGACCACACTCAGCCAGGGGGGTTTGCCTCGCCCTGTCCTGTGCTGCTTCCATACGTAGGTGGCTCCTCAGCCTTAGCTATTCCCTAAGTCAAGAGGTCGAGCCTGGCTTCTGCCTCCTCCCTCCAAGATACATTCTTGGCCCAAGTGATCTCATCCTCTATAATTCCCACTATTGCCCCAGGGAAAAAAATTACAAATCTACATTTCTAGCCCTTTCTTTCTTTCTACTATTTCTGAATCCCACTGACGACGGCCTTCAATCATCTGATCTGTCATCCCATTTTTACTCATTAATATATTCATTTACATGACAAACACGTGAATACCTCCCATAGACTAGCAGTTTACATTTTGGTAGGAAAGAGAGATTCTGAGAAAGAAACCAGAATGATGGAAACAGAATCAATAACCAAATATGTAATTAATTAAAAAAAACCTACAGATCAGATTCTTTAAAATATTTCACTCTGCATTTCAAGTAGGTTTCCCAAATTCCAAACAAAATCCATTTTAAAAGACCTGTATTTAGAAAAGGCCTGGAGCAAAACTTTTCATTTACTTTGAATACTTTAACCCAAGATTATGATATCCAGTTATTGATTTGTGTGTAAGTAACAGAAGGCATCTTTGGCTATGCAAATACAAAAATAAATTACAGCAGGAAGCACCCATAGCTCAGTGGGTAGGGTGCCAGCCACATACACCAAAGCTGGCAGGTTTGAACCCGGCCTGGGCCAGCTAAAACAACAATGGCAACAACAACAACAAAAAAAAATAGCCGGGTGTTGTGGCTGGCTCCTGTAGTCCCAGCTACTTGGGAGGCTGAGGCAAGAGAACTGCTTTAGCCCAACAGTTTGAAGTTGCTGTGAGCTGTGATGCCACAGCACTCTACCAAGGGTGACACAGTGAGACTCTGTCTCAAAAGAAAAATTAAATAAATAAATTACAGCAGCTATTGTGTAACCATAATGATTAGAAAATTTAAATTTAAAAAACAAATTTGAAATTGAATTAAATGTAACAATTTTATTTAGAGAAAAAAGAGAGTAAAGAAGAATATGTTGGTTAACATTTATTTATACATATCTCTTTAAATATCTCTAGATGGGGGTGAGTTCTACTTTATGTACCCCCCAAAAAATATGTTTAAGTATTAACTCCCAAGCTCCAGAATGTGACCTGACTGGGAAACCAGGTCTTTAAAGAGGTAATCAAGCTAAAATACAGTCATTAGGCTGGACCCTTATTCAATATGGCTGGTATCCTTATCACAAGGAGGAACTTTGGCATAGACACATACACAGGGATGATGATGTGAAGATACATGGGGATGAGTTAACCATCTACAAGGCAAGAAACACCAAGACTTGCCAGAAAACAACAGAAGCTAGAAGAATCAAGGAAGAATTCTTCCCTAGAGGCATTAGAGAAAGCACGGCCCTGCCCGCATTTAGATTTTGGACTTTTAGCTGTCAGAGTATGAGACAATAAACTGCTGTTATTCTGAGACACACAGCCGTGGGTCTCTCACTATAGCACCCCCTAAGAAACTAGTTAGCTAAGCTCAACAATCAACAGAATAAATTATAACAAATAGGAGACTGGAGTTCACAAAAAGAAACTTGTATGCAAAAATATAATACAAAATTTTAAAACAAAATTAAATTGGAAAATTAAGATTCTAACAAATTTGATGATGCATCTACATCCTTAAATAATTCAAAAGCTTTTACAAGGTATTGAGGAAAAACATTACAAAGACTCCTAGGAACACGAACAGATAGTTTACCAAGATAAAATACAAAAGATAAGAAAAGAAGATAAAATAGTCCATCTCGCTAGATAATCAGAGATGAAAACTAAGATATTACTGAGTTTATCTACATGGCAACATTTGTCTTAATGTTGCAAACAAAAAAAAAAAAAAAGAGTAAAGCAGCTCAATGGTGGCAAGGATGCAATACTGGGACACATTTATAAAAAGGTAGTAATTTCATGCTAAAGCAGATGGATATTCATTACATTATGAGACAGAATATTATGTAGACATTAAAAATCACACTTATACTGTGGATAGTTATTTTCTTTAGCTGTGTTAACAGTAGATGCAGGGCTGTGGGTGTCTGTCATGCTCTGTGTTATATGTTTCTAAACTTGGCATAGAAATAAGTAAAGAAACAATAGTAGTTACAACTTTATAAAGTTTATGCAATTATTTGGAGAAAAGCATTTTGATGTGTAAGAGTGGGTGAAATGCAAAATTGTATCATTTCAACTGAAAATATATCGAGAACTAAATAGAAAAAAGCCAAAATTTTCAGTAAGCTCCGTATTAGGACATTTTTTTTCTTTCTTTTCTTCCTGCGTTTTGTGGTTCTGATGAGAATCTTTGATAGACAGGATTAAAGCACAAACCAGCAAGACAGGGATCCTCACCAACAATTCTGCGGCTGACGTGACCCCTGCAGAAATGATCCCCAGTCTTATTCGGGAGAAGGGAGAAACAGCCACTACACCATGAAGGGGTTAACACTCCACTGTAACAAGTGCTTCCCAAAATAGTGTTAGATTTCCCATCGCTAGAATATATCTAAAATAAGAGGGATTGAAAGCTCATCTACATGTTCTTTCTGGGAGCTTTGTAAATGGGAATTAACGAAAAGAGAGGTAGTATTTTCCATTTTTATCACATTCCACATGGGTTAGAACCCTCTCTTTCTTGCCTCTGCTATAGAACTCAACTTCCATAACTCAATGGACGCTTAACAAATGCTTCCTGACCTTCTGGAATCTGCAAAATTAGAATTGGCAAGGATGATGTGGGAAAGAGCACAAAATATATGTATATTCTCTTCCAAATATGCTTAATTAGAGCCTCTCCAGCCAGTGCACTGTTTCATCTAATTCAAAAACAGTACAGTTTGAACAGCAGTAATGGAGACTCATTAAGTTCCATTAGCAGCAGTCACATCGAGTGGATACAATAGAAACCATCACCTATTCACAGCAACAGGTGACGTGCTTCAATAGAAACCTGTTAGACAAATAACCTGGTCACCCTTACACCCGGCCCTCTTGCTTTTACAGGTACTTACTTTCTAAAGCTCAATATGAAACATATTTTAATTATGTTCCCAGACCACCAACTGCATTAATTTAATCTAGCCTTATGGTCATTCTAACACGTAAAATAAATTCTTATAATTTTAGTCTCCTCTGTGCAAGTTATGAGGATAAAGGAAAGACAAGAATGGTAATTATTTTATTGGGGGCCTTTGGATAAGACACCTTAAAAGGAGATAATAGCAGGTATAATTATAATCATCATGAAAATCATAATGGTCACCGAGTGCTCACTATGTGCCAAGCATTTTACAAAGGTTCTACCTGTACTATTTTATTTAATGCACATCACAGCTCTATAAGGTGGTGTTACTGTTATCCCTGTCACAGGAAAGAGGCTGGGTCACATGGCCAGAGTCACAGGGCTGCCCGGGGGGGACAGCTGGGTATCAAATGCAAGCCATCTGACTCCACATTCAGTAGCATTAACCCTGCATTCAGGACCTCTCCCCAGTTCAAAAGGGATGTAGGCAATTTTGGTTTTGTGGGGGGTGTGACAGTGTCCTAGAGTTCCAAGAGTACTTAAACGGACTACACCAACATTTTCCATGTGGAGAGGTGCTCCCAGATGTTCCTCAATAATGCTTTATGGTCAAATATTGATGGGACCTGCTCAAGCTGTAACTCCCTACTGCTGAATTACAATGCACATTATGTTAAAGCATTCACATTTTTTAAAACTGTAGCATTGGCCAGCCTCAGTGGCTCATGACATTGGGCTCATAAAGTGAGACTCTGTCCCAAAAAAAAAAAATAGAAAAACTTGCTGGGCCTTGTGGTGGGCACTTGTACTCCCAGCTATTTAGGAGGCTGAGACAACAGAATCTTGTGATTCCCAGAGTCTGAGGTTGCTATTAGCTGTGACACCAAGGCACTCAACACCATGGCAACTAAGTGAGACTCTGTCTCAAAAAATTAATTAATTAATTAAGATAAAATAAAATAAAACCACAGCATTTCCCAAATATAATGCACTTGAACATGTTCAATGTAGAAAAATACCTAAAAACATCTTACTCCACACAACAGAGAGAAGGAAAAACTGACTTACACTATCAGAGTCAAAAAAAAAAAAAAAAAAAAAAAAAAC